GCAGCGCGGCTCGCGCTGAGCCCGGCCGCGGGAGCGCCGCGGGGCCGCGTCCATGTGCGCGCAGCCGCCGCGGAGCCCGCGCGCTGGGGCCGGGCCCTGACTCACCCCGCGGCCCCTCGACGGAGAGCGGCGGGCGAGGAGGAGGAGGAGGAAGCGCCGAGCGGCGCCGCAGGGACCCCGCGCATCCTCCGCGCCCCCCCAGCCCCTCTCGGACACAGCGGCGGACCCTGGGCGAGCGGGGCAGCCGCTCCCGGATTTACAAGGCGCGGGGGGCGCCCCGGCAGCAGAGGCGCCCGCGCCGGGATTCGCCGCGGGGACACGCACATGGGCGGCGGGCGCCGGCGGGCGGCCATGGTTCCCAGGCGGGGCGCGCTGCTCCGCCGGGCCGGCTGAGCGCTCCGCGCCGCCGGGCGCTGCGGCGCCTCGACCGGGGCGTCGCCGCCGCCGTCCCCCCCTCGCCCGGGCGCGGCGCGGGGGGCCCATGAGCGGCGATGGCAGCGGCTATCGCCAGCTCGCTGATCCGGCAGAAGCGGCAGGCGAGGGAGTCCAACAGCGACCGCGTGTCCGCCTCCAAGCGCCGCTCCAGCCCCAGCAAGGACGGGCGCTCCCTGTGCGAGAGGCACGTCCTGGGGGTCTTCAGCAAAGTGCGCTTCTGCAGCGGCAGGAAACGGCCCGTGAGGAGGAGACCGGGTGAGTAGCGCGACGGGGGCAGCCGCTCGCCCGCCCCGGGCCTCGGCCCGCCCGCAGCCGCCGGGGGGGGGGCGGGCGGCCGGGCCCGCGACGGCCCCCGAGCCGCCCCCGAACCGCCGGGGAGGCGCCGCGAACCCGGGTCCCCAGGCAGGGGCGGCCGCGGGGTCAGAGCCCGCGGGGGCAGCCGGGCTCGGCGCTTTCCGCTCCCCGTAGCCGCGCTCGAGCTGCCGAGCGGGCTGCGCTTSTTCCCTGCGCCGTGACGCGGACAGYGAGAGAGCGGGCACCCGGGAGAGCCGCGTCTGCTTCACAGCTACACCCATCGAGTGCTGCTGCTTGAGCCGAGTTGCAGGGGGATTTTGTTACCTGAGGCAGCTTCGGAGGTGGTGGCTGCGTGATATTGCACCTGATGTTAGCTCATAGGAACCTAAAAATGCATTCAGGGGCTTCTTATTTTTTATTTTTGTGCGTGCGTGCACGCTCTGACTTAGTTTCTCCTGGAAAACTTCAGCCTTGCAATACGTGTTGCTTGCATTGCCATGATGAAGTCCCACCTGCCACCGCTTAAATTCCGGGTGGTTCTTTGTGCTCTCACCTCCCCTCCCTGGGTGTGAACTCGGCACCTGGCCACACACCTGTCCCTGCTGGTTTCCTAAGGGAATATTAATTATTTCTTGCCCTTTTCCTTTTTTTCTTATTGCTATGAACTGCTGCTAAATTAAAAAAACAAAAGAGATGGGGAAGGTGGACAGCTAATAATGGTTGACCTAAGGAGCTACTGTGAACAGGTATTTTTCTTGGGCATCTGTTGGTATCACATATTTTTGCTTTAAAGAGATACTCYGTTCACTCAGCTCTTAGGGATGTGCCTCCAAGCCTTTTATTGCTTGTGTAATCCTTCCTCCTTTTCCATGTATATTGATAAATTKTTTGCTGATTAATCTTTTCACGAAGTCCCCTCTCCATGTCCAAAATGCCTCARTCCCGACCGCGGGAAGGCGTCAGGGTAGCTGGGTGCTCCAGCAGGCAGCTGCTTTTCTGCTCTCTGAGTTGAGGTRTTGGGCAGGGGCTCAAGGGAGGAACAAAAATAGCGGGAAACTCTCCTGTCACAGAAGGCCACTTAGTGCCGTTGACAGAAGGGAGAGGATAATTAATCTGTTGTATTGCTGTCAGCAAGGTCCCTATTCCTAGACTGTAGGGCAGGGACTATATTTAGTTAGCAAAGCGCTTCAAGACCTGGAGAGCGGGGGTTAGGCTGCAAAGAGCGAGCGCTTTCACTTCTGTTTTGAGGCAGTTACCAAAAGAAGACCCAAATTTGCGGTCACTTGCTGGGCTGCCCTCTGTATTAGTTACCTTATGAACCCAGAACCAAAAGCTGGTTCTTGCTCTGAAAGCAGAGTCGCTTTTTCCCTCCTTGGAGGGTGCAGAGCGGGATCTGGAATCTCACTGCATCCTGCAGCCAGGCTGATCATGTCCTTCTCCATCCCTCTTTCCTCCCGGTTCCACCTGCTGTTAAATAATGCCCCTCGAACCAAGGGTTTGAAGGAGGATGATGTCTAAACCTGTTGCTTAGATTTTAAGATGCTCYGTCAGATTAAAGTCTGAGCAACTTTTACAGCAGAGTGGGGGGAGTGAGTCTGCATATTGCCGCCACCTGCACGGCTCCGCTTYGGGTTCCCGTGGGCTCACTGAAAGCCCATGAAGAACTTCCCAGTGCTGAGAATTCCCTCAACTTGCACAGACCTTTGTGCTAAGGGAGGTGTTAGCAAGTTACAGACAGAAGTGATTTAAGGAAGCCTTCTTATTGACCTGAAAGAAAGATCAATGCTCATGTAAAACACAGCTGTCAGTCACTTGTAGCTTATAGAAGGAGCTGGTTTATTTATTTATTTATTTATTTACTTACTTACTTACTTACTTACTTATGTCAAGTGGCTTTTCCTGGGCTGCAAACCGTGCCTGTTTTGATTCCCTATGTAAATCCTGAAGCAGGGAATTGCTTCATTGGCACAGCACAGCCCTGAGGAAGGTGCCGCTCGCTTCGCTGCTCCTCCCTTTGCTTATTCAGGGGGTATCTTGCACCCAGGTAACTTGTCCATTGCAGAGCCACTCTTGTGCACAGAGTATGGCACAAATATGCAGTGCAAATGAAACTGGTTTGAAGAAATACGCACATATTGTTCAGGGTCCAGGATMTCTGTTTATATTTACTAAATGCTTTGCGGGCTTGTAGGTCAGTGAAAGGAAGGTGAGAAATGTCCGTGTTTGGACGAGCTGGAATCCCATTTGGAGATGGTACTTGCTAAGGCAGCTTAGTCTATCTTTACCTTTTGAAAATGTGACCTTGCTTTATGACTGTAGGGAATAGCTGTCCAAATACTTAACATTCACCAAGTGATTTTCATCTGTAGCTCTCCACAGGCTTTACCACAGGGAGACACTTCTCCCCACTTTACAGCTGGTGAAACCAAGGCACAGACCAGTTTCCTGGCACAGAGACCCAATTCCTGCCGCTTGTTCCTGCACGTTGCGCTTTGGACAAGTGATTTTTGGCAAGTGAGATTGCAATACTTCAACAGTGGGATTGTMACTTGCACCATTGCAGAGACGTGGCTGTCCTGGTGGTTGTGTTTCCTTCCTTCCTTTGCTTCTGCTTTGAAGGGGTATTTTTTTAAGTTAAAGTGTGAGTTTATGTCAATGAAGTGTTTTTTAATATGTGACGTAAACGCTGCTGAAACTAAAATACTTAGCGGAGCTGTGTGGTAGCAGAGTTATATTTTGCACTGGTTGGCACCTTGTGCTCCAGCTCGCAGCTTGTGCAAAGCGAGATGCTCCCACTCGCCAGAGCCCTCGGCCGGGAGGGATCCGCGCTCGCCTGGCAGGGGGACGAGTGATCGCAGGTCGCAGAGAGCCCTGGGGAGCCAGCTCCACGCAGGGACATCTTGTGTAATTGGTGCCCTCGGAGAACAGGCTGCAGGAGCTGCTCGTCTCTCGCTTGCAGTAAGCACCGTGTTGTAAAATCGGCGCTTGGTTCAGCTGGATTTTCAATGGGCGACGGCGGCGCGCTCGTGCGCGCGCTCGCTCTCTGCTTTTTTGTGTTATTTATATCTCTTGCATGCGTTTAGCTCTAAGATATGAAATGGCAGCTTAATATAGGCCAAATAAGCATGTTGTGTTATGCACCAGGCTGAAAATTTTGAGACCTGGGCTTAMTCCTGCTGTGGTGAATTAATACAGGCCGTTGGCAGCAATTGTGCAGGTGCYAAGTGAACAAACCATGTGCTTGCAGAGCAGCACCTGCCCAACCTCATAACGTGTGGCTTAGGAAAGAACGGGGGTTTTGCTCCRACCATAATAACTTGTTAGAGAATTCCAAAGAAATGGCTGCATGGCACCGTTTCGTGGTGCAGGTTCATGGCCCCGAGCTGCGGGATGACTAAGCTGACATGTTTTGGAGGCCTCGTGGAAAAGATGGAGTGTCTGGCATGGCATCCATGGAAGTTCATGGGAATTTTATCTGAGCGAGCACCTGTGGAGGGATGTCCTTATTAGGGAAAATCACCACTGAGTTTGGTCAGTGCCTGGTGTTGTGTAGCAGCGTCTCCAACCTGCATATGTTGTATYTCTAGATAGGTTTCCAGCTCAGAAAGCTGAACTCGTAGTCTTCAAAGTGGGATTTTACCCCAGAAAAATCAAAATTAGTTTGATTGTTTGTTGGATTTTCTGTCTAATATGTATCTTGCATTTTTTCAGATGGAGAATAATTTTCCTTAAGGAAATCTAAAGGTTTCTCYCAAAGTGAAGGAAATGGCTCGCAGGTAGACAAAGAGTAGTAACTTAAAACATGTTTTCCCTTTGCGGCATTTTCGTTTTGAATAATAGATGGAGATTTGGAGTTTAAAATATACATAAGTAGACATTTATGCAGCAGCTTAAGTAAAATGTAAGAGTGAATTTATTTGAAGGACACGGAAGGACTTTGTTCATTCAGAGGTTGCTTTAAAACATCATCTCCATAAGCTGTTAAATTCCCTGAATTATATCCTCAAGTCCTTTCTCATTTCATACATGGTGAAAATGGTGAGTGAAGCTCATGGCGTGGGGAAAAAAAGAATTCTTTTAGTTSTGTGCGCTGATTGTTCAGTTAAATTTGTCAGAGCAGATCCCAGCACCTTCGTGTGCTGTGCAAGGTAGCTGGTGAGGGCAGCCTGGGCTGCGAGGTCCTGCTGATCTGCAGGTGCTGCTGAACGCCAAGATAGTCAGGAAAGCRGCACCTTCGCCTCGTTGCAGCTTGGCAAACAGGTCCCTTCTTATCCCCGGCCTTGGGGGGAGTTGGGCTTGTGGGAGCAGTGAAAATTGTACAGTCAGGGAGGTGCCGTCAGAGTGGGTGGATAACTGATTCTTCAGCCATTGACTGGAAGGAAAACTTTGGGGAAAAACAGCTACTGAGTGATTATTTTCCTTCCCCAGAAAATAGAAGATCAAAATAAATTTGTTTATCATTGACTGAAATAATTGCTTTTTGAGAAAAAAATCATTTCATTGGGAAGATTTTTATATGTGCAGTTTTGTAATTTTTAGGTGTACTTTAAAATGCAATATCATTTTGAAGTAAGAAAAATCAAAGGCTTGGGTTCCAAAAAGACTAAAACGAAGATGAGATTTTCTTCTTCCTTCTATCCTTCTCCTATCCTTCCTTGCTTTGCTGAATTCAGCATGAATATAGACTAATTTCAGTAGACCAGATACTGTAATTTTTTGGCAGATATCTACTACAAAAAAATGAACTACTTGACTCAGGCAGAGCTGCCACAGGAACTGAATAGACTTGAAGCATCTCRTTCCTCTGAGGCAAATACCGTAATGAGTCTCACTGTGTTGAGCAGCAAGTGCAGACTCGCTTGGGCTTCTCTTCCTTACTGCTTTCCCCACCAAAAACGCCACAAACTGCCAGGTGACACTGGGAGCAGTTAAGTGTTTGCTTTGTGCCTTTGGTCATTGAA